ACCCTCCCCAGAAGAATAAAAATGGCAAAAGATGTCGACGTGTTTCTCTTTCTCTCTGTATAGTGTTTTAGCCCTAATTTAACTTGATCTGTAAAGAAAGAATAACTTAAATTTACACTTTTTTTTACATTGGGGGAATAAATACACGCACGCACACACACACCCCCACGGCGGAAAACATGGCCCCGAGAAAGGAACGCACTAACACCGGCCACAGCCCAACGTTAATGCTGCATTTCCCAGAGGGAACAAACAACCACAGCACCCACTGACACCAGCGGCTCGGTGTCTGAAAGCCAAATCCACGAATCAAAAGCAAATAAACAACTATTTATCTGGAATTCATGACAATCCACACACTCGGCCAAGTGTTATGTCACCATAAGGAGGCATGAAGAAAACAAGACAGCAAGCTCTCCGCTCCTCTTGTCTCTAAAGCACAGGGTGAAATTCTAGAGACATCTGATAGCAAAGCAATGTCCCTGATGCCTCCGATGATGTGGAAGAAAACCGAAGAAACCTCGGTCCCATTTCCCCTGACCTCGTGTTGACTCAGGTCATACCAATGACCATATTCTACCCTTTCGGAATGAAAATACGTCCGGTTAAGATGCCAGCAGCCACTTAGTCCAGTTACTAGGTGGAGAAGGTGCCAATGAAGAAATCCAAATAGCCTAGTTTGAAATACTAGCTATTCTGGGTCAACACGGTGAGTCATTTTTTATAAAAACAGAAGAGTTTAATGTTCCAAACATTATAAACCAAGGCAATGCTTTTCGAACCTCCTTATCACCCTGACCGGTGTAGCTCAGTTGCTCGGGCTTCATCCCGCCAAGCCAGAGGGTAGCCGGTTCTATTCCCAGTCAGGGCACATGCCTGGGTTGTGGGTTTGGTCCCCAGACAGGGCACATATGAGAGACAACCAATCAATGTTTCTCTCCTTTCCCCTCTCTCTAAAAATAAAGTAACATCTTTTTTTAAAAACTAGATAAAAAATCAAATCTCCTATCAACAGTATAAACTACAAAGACCCAAGCTATAAAAATAGTATTTCCAAGAAAGCTTTCTTAAAAAAAAAAAAAAGTCAACCCGTTTTACTATATCCCTGAAATAATGCAGATCATGCTGCCCTCTTGTGCCAGAGGGAAAAAATAAATCGGATTCTGTCCATGCAAGAACACGATTTACATTTAAAATGGAACTCCTCTCCTAGTTTCTGAATGGCTTACTGCTGACCTGGGAGTTGCATTACCTGTGTATGAAGATCTGATAGAACTGAGCCCTGGCTGGTGTGGTTCAGTGGATTGAACACCAGCCCTCCAACCAAAGGGTCACGGTTCGATTCCCAGTCAGAGCACAAGTCTGGGTTGTGAGCCGCGTCCCTGCTTGGGGGCCTGTGAAAGGCAACCACACATTGATGTTTCTGTACCTCTCTTTCTCCTCCCTTCCCCTCTCTCTAAAAATAAAACAAAATCTTTTTTAAAAAAAGGTCGGAGAGAGCTGAAATGAGGACACAATGACAGATGGCAGTGGTCAACGAGGAACAGGCAGACACAGTAGAGGGCCAGCGGCCACCGACCGTGTGCACAGGACACGTCCCAACTCCGACTGCAATCGAAATGAGCAGGGGGCGTGGGGACAGCTGGAAACCACACGGCTCTTTCACAGACACGCACGATGCCATTATCAAAACACATCTTAGGAGGAAAAGAGATGAGTGAGAGCAAGGAAGGTCAAAAAGGAAAAGGAAAAGGAAACCAGCCCTGCCCCTCTAAGACCACACACACTGGCTGATCATTTTACCCAAATAACCAGTTTATCAGGCTGTGAGAGATGAGTAGACCACAAGCTATGGCATCGCACAGACTACACCAAGTACGCTTTACACAACCACGTACAGGCTCAACGTGGAGAGTAACGACACAGTCAGGTCGCTCGGCGCAGTGAAACCTTCTTGCCAATCAGTTCCCTTGAATGGCTACACTGCAGGGAAACTTTGCTAGTAAGAGAAACACACACTTTCCAGGTGGCCTCTGCCCTCGTCCTGAAACCCAAATGAACTTGGGACTTCAGCAGGGCAGCTGGGGTTTCGGGACCCTATCCCGAAGGCCCTGGTTCTCTGCCTAAGTGCAGAGCATCCATCCCCCACTGATGAGCAAAATGCATGAGGATCTGGGGGAAAATACTAGAAGGGAGACAGCTCACCTGAGGTGGGAGCATCGTGAATGAGTGTAGAAGACATTGCTACAACCCTGGTCGGGGTCACTGAGAAGATTTCAGAGAAGCGGGTCCTGGAGATGGGTATGGGAGGGAACCCTGGCCAAGTCCTCCACAAATCCAAACTAGGCTAGGGTTCGGGGAGACCCAGCAGGCCTCGGCCTGGAGTTTCTGATGTCTGTACCACTCACCACCCGAGTCCAGCTTGCTGCAAACTACAGAGGGTCACAACGGTTGGACTTGTGATTTTTCCACTTAACTATTTTTCAGCTTTAGAATGGTGTAAAAGCTGTACTTGTTCAGTAGGAACTGTACTCCGAAGTCTGAATTTTGATCTTGTCCCAGGCTAGTGATGGACAGTACGGTACTCTCTCACAGTGCTGAGCAGAGGGGTGATGTTGCCCAACCGGAGGCCAACGTAAGGGTGCTGAGCACGTGTAAGGGAGGGCAGGCTAAGCGCGGGTGTTTGGTAAGTCAGCGTCAGTAAAGGCATTCTTGACTTGCAATGGTTTCAGCTTACGTGGGTTTATTGGATGCAACCCGTGAAATCGAGGAGCCTCTGTGCACACTGACCAAAGGCTCATGTGTCCTCTCCGTTTCCTAAAAACGGGGGGTTGTCAGGATCCTGAGCTCAGAGGAAACTGACTCTGAGTCTCCCCGAGAGCATGCTCTGGGTCACGGTGTCGAGAAGAGCACACGTGCCTCCTGATCTCCATGCTGCTCAGAGAACGCGCTCTGTCACTCTGGGGCCCCGAGGCTGTGCTGGGCACTCGTACACACTTAACAGAACTCCCAAACCGAGCATGTCTACCCCTCTACTCTAGAAGGGGATTTTAAAAAATATATAACCATTAAAGTACACAGAATCGACGATGTCAACTACGAGACAAAACTCATTGTCTCGGCTTGCTCTTCCCACTGTAAAAATTACAAAAATTTTAGCCAAGCGGAAATGTAAAATCAACCATATAAAAACAGTTCTTTAATCGAAAGCACCTTTGAATCTACCACTAAGAGAGTACGTCATTCACGGCCCCTAACCACTCTGGGCCAACTAGGCCGATCCGTGGAGTTCTTACTTGGGCTTCTATTTTCTTGAAGGAATCAGGTCCTGCCAATAGGGATAGGAGGGAGAAGCAAGATAAGCAAGCGCTCCCACGCTGCTCTGAGACTGGCAACCTCACAGATTCAGACTGGGTCCCAGACTTTTGAATAATGAGTAACTCGGTACTGGGAGAAGCCTGCAGGTCTCAGACAGGAAGAGTCCGGCTGACTGCGAAAATGGAAATTCGGGTCCACTGCGTGCTTTTCAAATTAGCTGGCAACATGGAGCAACTTCTCGGGCGTAATGGGACGTGAGTCCAATCGCTTTCTGACTACAGCTGCAATAAGACTGTAGGTTTGTCTGCCGTTTGCACTTCCTTGTGCTCACCTAGCGTCTGGACCAAACAGTACTTTCTGGAGAGTCTGCTTTGATCTCCACAGAGGTCTTGTGAGACAGGAAGGGAGGCAGCAATTGTGTCCGTCTCACACGCGAGAAGCCGAGATGCGTCACTGCAAAGATGCATCAGGCTGTGTGCTAAGCGAGTGCTGCTCCAAGAGCTGGGAATGTATCAACCTGGGTAATTCCCACACTATCTCAAAGAAGGAGGTGTGCACAGCATCCTCCTTTTACAGATGAGAAACCCAAGTGCAGAGAAACTACGTAACGAGCACGTAAGTGTCAATGTAACTGTAACCAGCTACTACGCAGTAAGCAGCACCGGGACGGAAGCCAGGCAGCGGGCTATCAAGTCCCTACTTTGAACCACGGCAGCATCCTGCTTGGAGATGTGCCTGCCCAGCAGTGTCGAGGGACTCTGGGTCACCTGGCAAGTTCATGGCCAGACCAAGGCTTCTCCTGGGCTCCCTCCGCCCCACCTCCCTACCTCCAACAATTTTGTCAGTTATTAGCTGCAAAAACACAGTTGCCCTGGGCCTCACTGCAAGTCTAACCAACAGAACAGAGGGGGATGCAAGTGGAATGCCTAACTCTTCCGAGGAACCCAGGTCGGCGGCTACACTTTCAGAAACAAGACAAGTCAAAGCCCCCCAGGCAGAGACATCAACCACATGGAAACCACCAAGGACACATGTATTGAAAATCTTCCTACTGACAACCCACCTGGCAGGTCTGACCAGGTCGCTAATAACTGGTAACCGAAGGTCTACTTTAAAACTATAGAGTTAATAACTTTTACTGAAGAGGATATTTGCATTTCACCCATCTTGTGTTTTAATTAATTTTTCATGACCACCTTAGGTAAACTGCATAAAGCAAGGGCCAAGAGCTCTGGTTTAGAAATGGGTGGGCAACAGGAGACATGAGCACTCAGCCTGTCTGAGGGAGGGATTCCTTGCGAGAAGGCCCGTCCTGAAGGGAGGCCCAGCTTAGCACTGTGTGATACAGCCAACGTCCAAGCAGTGAGTCAACGACTTTGACATAGGTCTGCGTGGCACGTACAGTGTTTTGTAGGCCACAGAACGGATTCCTAAATCATTCTGCAAAGTCAACAGTCACTTGTTTTTCCACACACACCAATCGGAGGGACAGCTTGTGTGGCCTTCCACGCAGTTTCTCTGGTGGGAAGCATCTGTTGGCGAGGCTTTTCACAGAAAATGAATCTACGCACAGTGAGCGGATTCTAAGCATCGCCTCCATTTTCAAACGCTGAAAGGCAAGCGACACTCACTAAGGGTGTTAACAAGACGCTGTTTACCGAGACACTTGGTATGGGACTTACCTATTGGATTTCTATCGAAGAACAAGACCGGAGCTTTCAAAATGGACTCAAACATTTTGTTGTGTAAAGTTTGTGAAGAATTGACAAGGATGTAGAACACCAACAGACATCTCGTGATGCCAAAAATGACGGTAGCTACAGTTAAACCTGAAAGAAAGAGATGTCACTCAGCCCAGCAGTTCTGCGTTTTCTGCAACAGCCCTCGGAAGTGTCGGGCAGCGTAGAAATTCCACAAAGAACCTGGAGCCTATTAAGAATGTAATGCATTCACGAGATACATTTATAAAGAAGAGTATAAAATAATTTATTTTTCTCTCAAAAAAGAAACTACATGGAAAAATATCAAGTGTCAACTACAATTTCATGGTTGTGTTTCCGAATTCCATCGCGAGTTCTATTAAAATCTCAGAGGGAAGACAATTATAAAAAGTAGGTGATCTTCCCTTCTCCATATCCCAAATCTTACTACTTAAGACACGTGCCATGTTCTAAAATTGTGGTATGTTTTGATACCAGCATGTGGAAGGGGAGAAATAATTGACCATTTCCTTATAAAAACTGCCCAAGTAGCTTTAAAGAATATGAAAATACATGAAGCTATAAGTAGAAAATTTCTTAAATAATTGAATTGCAAAAAAATACAAATTATATTTTAACATAATTAATCTAAAAGAGAAAAAAATCTCTCACAGTTTTACATTAACAAAGCATTTTTCAATGAACGTAATCATTTAAATTATGTATTTTATTAATGATATAAATGAATACCTAGAGTACACATAAAAATTAAAAGAGCTCTCCTAACATCTCTGGAACTCATAATGCAAACTACAGTGGGGATAACTTCGGTAATAAATAATCCATTAAGTACTTCCCCCTCCCCTCGGATGACACGTCACTCTTTCCTAAACTCTGAAAGCTGGTCAAATTCCTGAATTCCATCAGCAGGCATTTTCCTGAGTCTGCTGTCCCCCATGAACACACGACAGAACCCTTTTCCTTCTTCCTCTAGGTCGCCCATGGTCCACCAACTCAGAAGGTAAACATAGCTAATGGATTTCGATTTCTTAGCAAGTGACCAACAAAACAAATGTCAAGTTTCCATGCGTGGTCTCTTACAAACATAACTCCCCTCTGCCTTCCAGGAAAGCCTGTCTGAGAGTTTCCTGCAGGGATGGTTAACATTTCCGATGAGGCTTTCCTTTGAAAGAGAATGTCCTGCTACCTACATTCTAAGCGCTCTTGTGAAAACAGAACGCCGTGTTAGTATCAGTCTGGCAAGCCAGATGTTAAATTACCCGCACAGTTGGGAAGGCGATAACATTGTGATCTCAAGGTAAGGAAGAGGAGGCAGCCTAATTCCCAGACACTGGATTTCTCCCTGCTTAGCTTCCCTCTTCAGTAATTAGTGAAGCCCCGAGAGATGAGCCGCGGGGCGGGGGAAGGGAGCTTCGCACCCCTGCGAGGGAATCACGCTTTTCTTTTGGGGGTCCTTGCTGCCAGAGGATTTCATCCAAGTTCAACAAAAGCCAGGGTTTATTCAGACAGAATTGGAACAATCCGAACCAGAGGGTGGAGATCCGTTCCTAATCCCCTCGCCCAGCCATATAATAATATAAGATTTAGCAAAAGCAACCTATTAGAATAGACAATAGCCACATATTTCCAGTGGCTGATTTTCTGAATGCTCCATCCTGGTTTAACTTCCAAAATCCAGTACAGAGCAAATTAAAAGTCGTCATTGAACCTCTTTCTTCTAGTCGATTTTAAAAATAATTATTCTAATTAATTCACAAAGTAAATGCGACTCAGACTCTTAATCTGTTAAGACATTACTGAATTACTCTTGGAAGCCTAGTTACTCACACAGGCCCATTGTTGGCACCTCAGAGTCTCGTATAATAGACCCGATGATTACACTTTACCTGAATAAACTCCTAAGTACCAGTTAAGATCCAGCTGCTCAGTTACATTTCCTTTTCCATTTACAGTGGTGTTCAGGGTGCTCTGTTTATTTGCCCTATGAACAGGGAAGGAAAAATATTAAGCTGGAGATGAAATTTAGATACATACCAAAACAAAACAAAAAACCCCACACTTACCCTTGACTTGGGAGTCACATTTGTTTAATGCGGGAAGATGACTCCCAGCTCACAGGGCCCTGTGTACATCTACCTTATAAAAATTCAGTTTGAGCCCTGACTGGTGCAGCCCAGTGGGATGGGCATTGTACCACAAACCCAAAGGTTGTCAGTTTGATTCCCAGTCGGGGCACATGCCTGGGCTGCAGACCAGGTTCCCAGGTGGGGGAAGGGGGGGCGGGGGGGGGGCGCATGCAAGAGGCAACCAATTAATGCTTCTCTGATGCATCAACATGTGGTGTGTCTCTCTCCCCCTCCCCTCTCTATAAACATAAATACATAAAATCTTTGAAATGAAAGAAATGCCATTTGAACCGTGCCTCTGAATTCTTAAAATTGTCTGTGAAGATGCTGCTGAGTATCAGCCATGGGTAGAGGTTGTGGGAGGGTCACACTCCGCGGGCAAGAAAAACTTTCATTTTTCTGCAGGGAAACTAAATGAGGATTCCAGCAGGAGGCTGAGCAAACCCCACCGCTCCCCAGCTCTGTGAGACAGTGAGGCTCCATGCTGTTTTCGCGGCACCTTGCGGCCAGCCCGGGAAGGAAGAACTCACCAGTAGGAGAGCCACCAATCCTGAAGAATGTAGAACACCTGGAGCAGGGAGACACACGCACGAGTCACACACGAACATCACGCACCAGCTGAAAAAAGCTCCCTCGCTAAAATGGGTCATCTGAAGGCTCCAAAAAACAGAGACGGTCCTTCCAGCTCAGGTCAAGGTTGTGCCAAGCCCAACATCCCACATAACAACAGGTCGAGTAAGCGCCTGTTACTTATTTAAATTTTTACAAGACATCCTTTGTGGGGTTTTGTCCCTGGAAGCTGATGTACACGCAACAACACCACTCAAACATTGTCTCTTTTGATCCCCATGAACGGCACATTCCAACGCAAACCCAAGTGGACAGCAAAAATACAGTCAGAGTATAAATAAATTCAGTGTAAACATAAATATTACCGTAAAGATCAAGCTGGGGGCACAAAACAAAACAAAGGCCCCTGTTTACCTGCGCAGCAACGTTAAGCGGAATAAGGACAATGAGGATAAACCAGTTGGCCCCAGCTGTGAAGTAGTTCCAGTAGGCCTTGAGACCGATTTTTCCTTCGGAACGGCTCTCCTCGGCGACTGGAACCTGCACGTTCTCAACCTGGGAAGGAAAAAAGGCAGTAAGGGACAAAACTTGAAGTCACCCTAAAATGTCAAAAGGTCAGCCGTGCACTCCACTGGCAAAGTGGTAGGAGAACACGCACGTCCCACATGCTGGCAGCGGTGAGACACGGTGCCTCTCCTGCAGGGGCGGGGGTGGGGGTGGGAATATCTAGCCACTCGCCTACGCATGAACCCTTGGGCCCAGCCACCCCACTTCCAGGAATCTTTAGGTGTGAGGAAATGTCATTTGCATGAGGATGTTGTGGCCTGGCTCTGCTTAAAGCAGAACATCATGATTTCCGACACGTGCACAGCACCCTCGATCCACATATGCCTGAGAAGCGTGTCCCACAATAACACACAAAATGACAGGAAGCCAGTGTAGCACTCTAGACTGTTTGCGTCACTCAATAATGGAAACATTAAGCACCGTCGGAGCTCAAACTGCTGGCCAAACAGTCAACGGGGCTATAATAGCAACATGGAGTAATGAGTTTGAATAACGAGGGAGAACACAGGATCCGAATCAATTTGGCTCCTGAATTGTAAAGAGTGATTCCTGAGTTTCACATGTGAGAGACTCATCTGAATCCCTGAACCAACCATGCTCCTGGATTTGCGTAGTCAGATTCGGATTCGTGGAACACCCATGTGTATGTGTAAGGGGGATCTGGTGCAGGTCTGGAGGACTCAGAATGCATCAGAGGCTTGCATGAGCCAAACATGTCCTCGTTTGCACAGTCCACAAGGGAGTCAAAGATGGGTTCCCAGTCTTGAAGGGTAAGAAGAGAAGATGGAAACTCACTCTAAAGTGTCTACCCTGTGCCAGGTCCTTTGTACTTGCTAATTCTGGCCTATCACCAACCACCTCACCGCTGCCCAAAATAATACCACCAGTCACCTCTGGTGCCAAAACATTCCAACATATAAGAAAAATAGCTGATTTACTGTGGCAGGATACGGTCTGAGGGGGTCTTCAAATGAAGCCTCTGGGTGCAAAAGGGAAGCCTGGGGCCATCAGAGCAGGTAGGATTTACCTGTGATAAATTCCAGAGCTCTAATGTCAATCACTGTGCCACACATGCGTAGGAACTTAGAGCAGGGCATTCGCTACTGATGTCCACAAGGTCCTCCATCCCACACCCAAAGGAGAGCCCCAGTCAGGCTTGCTCCCTTCATTCTGTTTTAATTCTACAAATGCCATGGATGAAGCCCTCGGAACCACAGGATCTACTTTGGGACAAATGAAGCTGTCAGGAGCACAGCAGAATGAAGACCCATGGGGCCACCAAAAGCAGAGAGAAGCAGGGCAGGCTGCAAGATGAGAAACTCACAGACTGGCCCTCCGGGGCACCATCTTTCAGTGAGGGTCTGGAAGACTGCTGAGACCAAACGGAAGACTCCGAGAAGGTCCGATGCCTCAGCGTGGGACTCTCTGAGGCGGACGCTTGCTCGGCCTCCTCATTTTCCTTCTTCAAAAGGGAACCAAAGTCTAGCTTGGATTTCAGAAACTCGGTGTAAGTCCCCTTTTGCACCATTTTACCCTAAAATAAAAATAAAGAATGGGAGAGACGCACATTTGCATTTGATAATACGAATCAAGAAAAGGTAACTGGTCTCAAATTAGGATTTCTGGAAGAAAATTACCCTTCGGTCTGAAATTCCGGCCGACAATTCAACTTAAAACGGACTGAGCATTCTGCTTTCTGATAAATGCTGTGTCATGTGCTCAGTGATATAAAAAAATCGGTGACCATGCGCTGCAAATGGAGGTCATGACGTTACCAACCATGGTCCCTTAAAGAAGCCAACAGTATAGATGTTGGTAGGAGTATCTGAAGTCTTTTTAGATTGAGTCTCCTATAATGAGCAGAATTTGAATTTAAAAGAACAGTACCAATTGGGGAGGATATTCCAGGGCGGGGGACAGGGGGACCAAGGTTAACACAGGTCGGCACATGCACTTCTGCACAGGTAAAGGTCACTCATCAAATCTTTGCCGGCCACTGTCATTGTATCATGTACCCTACCAGGACAAGACCTGTGGAACAAGCCCTGGATACAGAATCCACGAGCAGCATCTTCATGGTCTTCATTCTGAAACTGCCCTGGAAACTTGGGAAGTTACCAACTACAAGTTCAACATTCCACATGTTAAAGTAATTCAACGAGGAGGCCGTTAGAGGGGGTGGCTCTACTTAGCAGCCTGTGCAAGGACACCAGCTCTGACCTGGAGTCAACGCACTTAAACACAAGAAAACAAAACTTGGGGACAGTCACAAGTGGCCACCTAGGCTTTCCCAAACCAGGCAACTGCTTAAGTTACAGCCAATCAAATAATAGTTTTTAATTACATGGGGCATCTCATCCCATAGGTCCCTATCCTTACAAAGTTGTAGAAAATGACGTGCAGATATTTTCACTATTTTCTCACCTGGTAGAGCAAGACTTGGCAGATTTACTCAGTGGTAAACACAATATTAGGCAAAATCCCGGGACACAAAACAAATCAGAGCAGGGCAGCCCCGGTTAAGGCAGGCCAGGAAAAAAATGGCCCGGCCCCTCTGGCCTCCCACTCACCCCGTCCCCGCAGGAGACCCACAGAGAGAAACCCAATGAAGCTTCCGGGAACCATTTGATACTGCAGAATCCCACTATCCTTCGTGATATACTATGTCTTGTTCCACTTGGGAGGCAAAATTCATACAATTCATTTAATGAAAGTACTGCTTTCTACTTAGTATCTGTGAGATGCACAAGGAAACAGCTAATGGTGTACAGAGAGCAATTTCTTCAGCAGCCAAGCCCTGGCAACTCCAAGAGGGGACAAGGGGGCAGCCAACCCCTCTCCGGTGTGAGAAGAAAGACCAAATGAACAGTGAGGATGAATCCAGCTCACCCAGGGGTGCTCCAAAGGGGACAAATATCTTGATAGTATTAATGTTGGGGGCGATGTCCTCAGAAGAAGCAATCAGGGGATCCCCCAAACATCCAAGGTTGTTCTACTGTCCTGATTCTGTACTCACAATATTACCATACTAGTCCCACCCCCCTGCATGTGAACGTAACTGTTCTCCAGTTTGAGGAATCTGAGCCCCTCATCCCTGGAGCAGTGGCGGAGAGTCAGTACACAGAACCGCCTTTCCACAATCTTTCTTAGGGCAGACATTCCCAGAGCCTGTCGGGACAGGCAAGGGTTAGGGTTAGGGATGGAGGCCCAGAGGCACAAAGGCCGATGAGCCCACGAGAGCCACGTCAACCATGAAGCCTCAACAATTCTCATCACCTGCACCCCACCCACCACGCTCACTGCTGTGGGTTGAACGGTGGCCCCCTAAAAGCTATCTTCAAGTCCTAGATGTGATCCCTGTGACTGTCACCTCATTTGGAAATAGGGCCTTTGTAGATGTTATTGAGCAGGGGGGCCCCTAAATCCAGTATGACTGATGGCCTTATGAAGAGAAGAGAAAGGAGACTCAGACAGAGGGACACGACCATGTGACAACAGAGGCCGCGACTAAAGTGCTGCATCCAGAAGCCCCCAGAAGCCACCAGGAGCCCGGAAGTGGGAAGAGGCAGGGAAGGACTTTCCCCAGAGCCTCCAGGGACAGCATACCCCTGCCAGCACCTTGACTTTGAACTGTGGACTCCAGAACGAGGACTTTAAATGTCTGTTTTAAGCCACCCAGTTTGGGCACTTCGCTGTGGCAGCTCTAGGAACTGATGCAAAACTAGCCTAAGCCCACCCTTCTGAACTTGACTTAGACTTCTAATTGTCTCTGCTGGTGCCCCTCTGGTAAACCTCAAAGGGGTCTTTTAAAGTCACGCATCAGACCACACAGGCCTCTGCTCTGGACGGTCAGTGGCTTCCTACACACTTCAAGGCCTGCTGCCCGCCCGCCCGCTGCTCTGGGCCCAGCTGCCCACACACTCTGCCTCCGCCTCTCCAGCCTTCCTGGGGCTCCTTCCAGGGCAGGTTCTTCTGCAGGATCCTGCCTCAGTCGCCGCCCCCCACTCCAGGTGGCGCAGGCCCCACCCCTCTGTGGGGAGGAAGTCAAGGTATCAGCCCACCCTCTATCGCTTTCACCCCATCTATCCCCCAGAAGGATGGAAGTCCCCCGATAGCAGGGACTTGGTGTCTCGCAGCTGCGCAGGGTCTCACACGTATCAACTAGCAACCAAGTACATGGGGTGCATGGGTGTCTCTGACCGGGGGGTTCTCAGCGAGGCCCCCACGCTCCGTTTTCAGTGGAAGACACTCCTTACACAAACTGCATAGAACAATCAAATGGACACAAACGTGTCTGCACATCTCTACTTCCCAAACAGCAGACTTGAACTTAAAACATGCAGGAGGAAGACAAAACGTCCTCAATAAGAAAGCACCATTATCCTTAACAATTTCGCTGAAACAGTTGTCATTTAAAACTGGGGTAGCGGTTTTGTGTACTGTCCTCTAAGGTAGGTGGCTCGGCATGGAATGAGGGCGTTCCTACGTGTCTTTGGACGTATCCTTAAAGGCACAGGGTGGCAGCTGTGCGAAAAAAAAAAAAAAAAGACAAAACCCAAGGCGGAAGGACGCAAGGACAGTGACCTGGCTGGGAGGCCTGGCCTTCAACAGGCCTGAGAGCTAGGAAGCTGCACAGACTGCTAGAGGTTACTCACATCTTTCAATATCAGAATCTGACTGGCAGCTTTTAGGTACTGCAGCTGGTGGGTCACTAAGATTGTGATCTTCTTGTGCAAGGTCTGACAAATGCACCTGTAAAGGGAAGGGGGACAGTGTGCAAACACACGTTAGTGGGGCGCTCCGAAAAACATGCATTCTGAAAACAGAAGGAGACAAAGACAACACAGTAGCAGCCGAAGATCTGGAGTTTAAACACTAATGCTAATACAAACGTAAATCAAGGAAGCCAACGGGGTCCTTGAATTCACCGGCAGCAAAGTTCAATCCAGCTCCGTAGAGAAATTCTAAAACATAGTCCAGTGCTGGAGGTGGCTACGGCTAAGTGCTGTTTTTCTCCCCAATAAAACTCGGCTTGACAATTTATATATATTTTGTGTTGAAAAACGATTGAGCAATACCAAGATTCTACAACCTGACCAAACTGAAAGACCACTTATTTTATGGCTGTGCAGGAAGAGGAGAAAGGGGGAGTTATGGTATTAAAATGTGTGCATGTTTTCTTAGGTAGTTTCCTGGTTGATTAATTATGACTTATGGTGCACATATTAAGCAAAAAAAAGAAGTCTTAGATTCTCAGGAACCTTTGTCAGAGTGCATTTTTTAGATGCTTCTCCTAAACGATAGTAGACAGAAAGTAAATGTTAGTGCAGCTTCCATCATACCCAACACCTTTCCCAGTCCTGTCTGGGAAGCACATCATCTGTCGTTAGGACTGAAAACCTGCCGAATACAAAGATGCACGAACGAACCCAAATGGCCCTTATCACAGTGGACTCACCCAGTGACTCAAAGTGCTGATTCTCTTAGTGAACACCCGCCTCCACAACCAACCTTGAAGTTTTGTGGGGTTTTGTTTTTTTACAGTAACCCCTCAACATGCTCCAACATTTAAATGCACACCCCTGGGAACTCATCCCCAGCTGCAACCTCCAACAGTCTGCGACACCCTCCGCCCCAGGTAAGAGAGTAGCTGGTCCCGGACCCCAGGGTATCCGAGCAGGGCTCTGGGCACACCCTCTGGTTGCACCAGTCACACACTGAGCAAATCTCGGAAACAGGGCCACAGTGCTCCCCACGAAGGTGGGCCAGACCACGAGCTCTGGAGGCACCTGGACTGGAGTTTGCGTCTGTCCTGCTGTACCTCTTACCAACCCAACAACGTCGGGCGAGCTACTAAACCTCCCGAATCTCAGTTTGATCATCTCAAAATAAGGCTAATGTCAACTCACAGACATGCTCTGGGAAGTAAAAACAATACCCGCTTAGTAAACGCTAGCTCCGTTCTCCACTCTTCCTATCACCCGTAGGTGCCATCTGCTTTGGCGTCAGGAGAGGAAAGTCCTAAGGGGACAATCTGGAGACTGGTCATATGAGCAGGGCGAGGCCCAGGGTGCAGGTGCACACACTATCACTTCATGGTCTACGTCCAGAGGGATTACTTTTCCCCTTGGACCTGGACCTGGCTCTGTTTGGCTCTTGTCAGGCTTACTACTAAAGCTTTTTGTGGAAGTATTTCGCCTTATTTCAAAATTACCTGCCACTAATCTCTCAAGACAGGTGCTAATCAGATCTGACCGATTGCTCTGTCTGAGATGGGTCAACCCAAAAGTTTCAAAATGTTTTCTTCCTCCCAGCCCATCACTGATTAGGTAACATAATCGTAATGCTATTGTAAATTGATGGCTTTAAATGTCTCCTACATTATGCTTCTTATTAAAAAGAGTAAAAATTTCTGCCCTGACTGGTATGGCTCAGTGGGTTGGGTGTTGTCCTGCAAACCAAAAGGTCACTGGTTCAATTCCCAGTCAGGGTACCAGGGCCAGGTCCCTGGTTGGGGGCATGCGAGAGGCAATCGCACACTGATATTTCTCTCCCTCTCTTCCCCTTGGTCTAAAACTAAATAAATAAAATAAAATAAAATAAAAAGTAAAATGAGACAGAGTCGGAGCCTTCATTCAATCAACACACATTTGTTGAGACGTTCCAAGCGCTGAGGATACAACCACTGGTAAAGAAAACAAACGATGCTCTGAAAACAGAGGGTGGCGGTAAGTAACACAGAAAATGCACCGCAGAGCCGTGGTGGGGGCCACAGAGACAAAGCTCAGTGAGGGCTGGGGCTGCTCTCTTTGTTGGAGGGGACAGTGAGCCAGGAGAGGACCTGGGAGACATCGTGGAAGAAGGCACAGCAGGTGCCGTGGATCTGGGACAGAAACAGGCCGTACAAAGGCGCTGTCATGGGTCCACAGTTCAGCCGGGGGTGGGCAGGTGTGAGGTTCAAGTCCAGCCCCTCGAGGGATATAGGATCACAACCCCCCCTGGAGGGCCAGGAGGGACCAGAAGAAAGGTGGTGCTGGTGTCCTTCCTCTTTCTCCTTTGCCCTGGCACACTGTGCCCTGGCTCTTGGACAGAAGCAACAACGTCTGCACAGACAGACAGATATGAGAAAGGGCCCACCTCACTCTCAGTACCACACAAAAGCCAGTGTGGTGTACTGAGTCATGCGAGGAAATGCCGGGAAGGCGAACAGGGGGAGAGTGCAAAGAACCTTGCTCGCCGTTTCAAGACATTGAGCTACATCCTGACCTTGGAGGGGGGTCAGTGAAGGTCTGGAGCAGGGACAGGGAACTGAGGGGGCAGTGAGGTGGGAGATCTGATTCCCACCAGATCAGACCAGAAGAATTCCCACTAGACCAGAAGAATTCATGATGCAGAAGGTGGGGGCATCTGGTGACATTGGGGCTTTCTAAAATACCACAGGGATCTGTGGCCAGAAACAAACTTGGTTAACATCATTAATCTAGGGGTTCCTAACCTTCTGGATGTGATAGAATCCACTTAATGTTTACAGCATCTACTAATCTGTAGAACTCAGAAACCCTAATAACCTTGGGTATATAGTCATGACTGCTGTAAACTGTTAATGGCAAGGAAAAGCCTATTTCATTCACTTTTAACACAAAACACTCACATTACTAAGCTCCGACACAACTGCCATCTTTCATTGCACATTGTTCAATCCAATTTTCTGACTCATTGAGAACATTCTCCAGTTGCTACTGAGTGGTTTTCTAAATTGCATTCGTGTACCCAGGCAAAGTTTCTCTAAAGAATGTGGTTCTGATTAGCAAACAACAGTTTTAACAAGCTTGCTTCCATCAAGTGTATACCCAACGTCATTAAACCCAAAAGGGGCGAGAGGACTTTATAAATACCTGCGATCGAAGAACTTGGGAGAGCTTTTGTGATGAGCACACTGATACTTAGCCATTAAAACCCTGCCCCTCTTCTCCTGGGGACATGATACACTGGCCAGCAGAAATAGTTCCCGACGTGATGGAAAACTTGTGCAGACACACAAGTCAGGGTGGCAGTCATGTGGGAGTTCAAGGTGGAGTCCAGGGAGCAGGGAGGATGAGCTGCTACTGTGGACGCCACAAAGGGTGGGGGCGGGTGGGGAATCCCTGTGTTGGCTGAACTCAGTAAGGTGACAGGGGAACCCCTGCCACTGAACTCAGTACAAGCCACAAGGCACGTCCCAGCCTATGGGAGAATCCATCGGGTCACAGGCAGGAAAGCGTGGAGGAGAGAGGTCAGCCCACACAGCTAGGGGCCATGCCCAGTGTCTGCTGACTTGGCCCTGCTGTTCACACTCTGAAGAGTTCAATGTACTACGTGTTTTTAAAATTGTGATAAAGTTTATGTGAAATAAAATTTACCATTTTCACCATCCATCTCAAGAACCATTCATCGCTCCAGTAAATATGCCCATTTTATACACCCACAGTCTGGTGGAGAAAGGTGGGGGGACCCGCCCAGTGACCCATGCTCAGTGGATGACCTCAAATCCCAGCTCCTAGCCCTGGCCAACGCAGCTCAGCTGGTTGGGTCATCCCACAGAGCAAAAGGGCAGGGGTTCGATTCCTGGTCAGGGCACCTGCTTGGGTTATGCGCTGGCTCCCCAGCAGGGGGCCTGCAAGAGGCAACCAATGTTTCTCTCCCATCGATGTTTCTCTGCCCTCTCCTTCTCCCTCCCTTCCCCTCTCTCTAAGAATACATAAATCTTAAAAAAAGAAAACCCCAGCGCCTAGTGTGCTGCCTCACGACATCTTGCTGGCACTGCTGACTCTGCTCACATGTCTTCACTTCACTACTTAGGAACCAGTGTGTCGCCCCCCCCCCCTCAAATTCTCATGTTGAGGCCTTCAGCCCCTCGACCTTAGAATCTGGCGGCAGTGATGACGTTGAAATGAGGCCACCGGGGTGGGCCCTAATCCAGTCTGACTGGTTTCCTTAGAACGGCAGGTCAGAATATAACAAGGAGGCGGGGTGGTGATAAGCAGTGACCGTGCGAGGGCAGGGCGGGAGGAAGGCCACCCGCAGCCAAGGAGAGAGGCCTCAGAAGAAACCAAACCTGCGGACACCTTGCTCTCGGACTTCCAGCCTCCAGAACAGCCAGAAAATACATTTCCCTTGTTCAGTTCCCCCGGCCTGTGATCCTTTGTGACAGCAGCCTGCTTCGGACTGAATGTTGGTGCCTCGGAAAATTCATACCTTGAAACCTCATCCCTCCTGGGACGGTATTGGAGGTGGACCTTTAGGGGGGTGACTAGGTCATGCGGGGGAGCTGCTGTGAATGGGATTCGTGCCCTAGTGGAGGCGACCGCCACAGAGAAGTGCTTTCCCCTTTGTACCATGTGAGCGCACGGCGAAAAGGGGAGCCAGGGGCCGCGGTTCCTCGGACGCCAGAACTGCCTTGGTCTGCAACTTCCCAACCCCCAGAACTGAAGTCAATTTAAAATTGTCACCTTTAAACCGCCCAGTCTATGGCACTGACCCCACACCCTCCCCCAACCGCGGGTCATAAGTACCTTCCACCGAGCCCCGTCCACAGGGAGCTTTCCGATCTCAGCTGAATGCCTAGGGCTGCACCCTTCTCCTTCCTTTTAGTATCCGTTATCCTTTATCACAGCCCTTTAGGCCTTGAGGTGAGCCGTGCATCTGTCTTGACAAACTCCAAGGAGAGAGAAATTCCTTAGGGAGCAAAAGGAGACTGACACTTCCTGCCCTCCCTTCTCTTGCCCAGTGTGGATCTCACTGCCCTCCTTTCATAAACTAAGATGTCTGTGCGATCACATGTGTGACAGCCTCAGGGCACACAGTAGGGCTTCCACAAGTGCAACACTATAGGGCTTCAACAAGGGCAACTGAAAGGGGTCGTTGGCTTTACCAGGGTAAACAGCAGCAAGGTATCTGTGGGGCAGACTAGATGCTGTTTTAGCAAGAGCAAGTTCATGGCCAGCCTAGACTGCACAGGAAATGTCCACTGGCGCACATTAGGATATCATATACACAGAAAAGAGATTCCGAGTGTTCTAGTTCAGTGGCCCAGGGCCTAAGAAAAGCCAAAGAACACAAATTCCAGAAACACAAAGTGAGAGGCAAGAGTTAAGACACAGTCTAGAGTCCTAGGTTCAAAGTCCAGTAAACCTGACATGAGTGGGCATGAAATGATCAAAGCCAATACCCTGCTACGGAACAAATCGTTCTTAAACTTCCAACCCACAGAATGATTCAGCAGAAACTAACAAGGTCTTTCCCTGGAAGACCAATGTCACTACTGGACACATGGCTTCTACCGCACCAAAAACAGTGGTGGAGGAAAAGAACTGGCAACCAAGTAACAGGTCACTGAGTCCCCCCCTGCAGACTTAAAATCTGTAGATCGTCCTTCTTGTTTTGGGGTCTGCATCCATCAACAGTGCCTTGCCTATCAACTGCAAGTATGTGCGTGTTGCAGGGGGTTGTGACTTGCAAACTTTGCCCTTAATTCCTTAACTCCTAAAGCATGTACTCCATTCGCCTCCACGCACTGTAAGCACCTTCTGGTCCTTGTACACCTTGATCTCCTATTGGTGCAAAATTTCTCTAAAGTGGATCTTGTGTGGAGGGAAGGAAGGGGAAAGAGGGACATCAAAGCAGAGGGCACTCAGTCTTCCGAGGTAAGAGGCTTCACTGCGCAGGGTTCTCGGAAAGCAGGAAGGACGTAAAACATGAGCGGACTCACAGCTGGAACAAGTGCTTGCTGACTTCCGCATCTACCGCGCTGAGGGGATCGTCCAGGAGGTAGATGTCTGCATCCTGATACACCGCTCTAGGAAACAAAAAGAGGTATCATGGGGAAGAATGCTTCCGGTCCCTGCGGCTCATCACGGAATCACAACAGCGTTCAACAATGCAGCTGATGCTCATTCCAAGAGCCAAAGAAAGAATCCAAGACCAGTGCTTCACACAGTGAGCAGGGGCTGAGTGTCCCTGGAAGCGGTAGAAGAGGCATGTGCGGGAGGTCAACCAAAATGTGACCTACCTGGCAAGGTTGACACGGGCTTTCTGCCCTCCACTCAGCGTGGCTCCCCGATCTCCTATCACGGTTAGATCTCCATCCTCCAAAAGCTCCAAATCCTTACAGAAACAGGAAAAATCGACGCCTTAAAATGCGTTCTCCCACCGTCATCCTAAACTTTTAGCCTCAGTTCTTCATGCACAAATCTGACCAACAGCCGTGGACTGATTTCACACTGACTCAACTGTAAGCTCGCCCCTTTCTAATAAATTCTCGGGCATTTTGTTTGTTTCTATCCTGTAGTTCTTCACAGGGTTGATGCAGTTAACCACTTTACAGATATTTACTGAACAACTACACGTCAGGCATGGCTGTGGGTGTAACGAATTCAACACAGTGCAGAAAAGAGCCTTGGAGTTGCAGGAGATGACGAACGCAGGGTTAGGGGACAAAGTCAAGATTTCGGCTGTGGGCAAGCGTAAGTAAGTACTGGTGACGACAAACTGCAGGCGGGTGAGCCAGTCTGAAGGTCTGTGCTAGAGACACAAGCGTGACAGCTGGTGGCACATACCTGGCTTGTGCAGGCACAGGACTAATTTTATCAGGAAATGAGTGTGCCTGGCCCTGACCAGTGCGGCTCAGTGGGTTGCTTGTCATCCCACAAAGTGAAAGCTTGTTGGTTCGATTCCAAGTCAGGGCACGTGCCTGGGTTATGGGTTCAGTCTCCCGTTGCTCTCCCTCTCATTCTCTCTCCCTTCCCCTCTCTCTAAAAATATATAAAGTCTTTTTTGTAAAAAAAAAAAAAAGAGAGAGAGAGAGAGGGAAGTGTCTCTTAGCTACTCATTACACTGATCTCAGCCTCAGCTCTGGAGAAGGGACGACACCCAACCCGTGTCTTTGGTGACACTTAGGGCACAATGACAGAGTGACAGACAAGATCTGTATAAGAAATAAAAGCAAGAAGTGCGGTCTGAGCAGGAAAAACCAAGGTCTGTTCTAGGAACACTGTGCAGATCAGCTGGACAAAGCAGATGCTTGTCCTGTGCAAGCCAGGAAAGACTTGAAGCTAAGAAAAATGAGGTTTGATTTGAGGGCCTGGGAATCTGTCAGGAATTATATGTGGCCAGCATTTAAAAAACAAGTGGACTAATCACAGTACCCAGGAAAGAAGATGACAATAACACCCCCAAAATGACGGGACAACAATCAGGTTTGAATCACACATCACTATATTAGACATTTTTAATTAGATTACCGACAATTATTGCTAAATGGATCCTGACATAATCAAGCATCGATCTAGAACACATAGCAATACCTGTCTGCAAACGCAGCTTTCATTTCTTTTTTTTAAATAATTTTTTATTTATTTTAGATTTTATTTATTTATCTTTAGAAGGGAAGGGAAGGAGAGATGGAGAGAAATATCAATGTATAGTTGTTTCTCATGCGACCCCCGCTGGGAACTGGCCTGCAACCCAGGCATGTGCCCTGACTGGGAATCAAACCACGATCTTTTGGTTCACAGGCCTGCGCTCAATCCACTGAGCTACACCAGCCAGGGCATCTTTCATTTCTTTGTCTCTACTTTGGCCAATGTGGGAGAGAAAGCAAATGGCACATTGGATCTCCCCAAGTCTCACTTTCCTCTCCTACAGAATATGCTGCAGAAACAAGAATTCCTGACTCAAGGATGCTGTGAGAATCGAGAGGAAGTGTATAAACAGCCTCTACAAATAGAAAAAGGACATGAATTAATTTTTGCTATTATTTCCTGACCGAGCCAACAGTGGGACCTCATTCACATTCTGATTCCGTGTGACTTGTAACAGGCAAGAGAAACAGAGCATCAGCATCGTGACCCATCCCTGACACCCACAAAGACACAATGTCACAGGGTCCCTGCATACTCAACGTGAAGGACATCAGATGAGGGACAGCGATGGCTCCATCATAAAGATTCATTTTTATTTCATTTCATTTCTTTGTTGAGCTAAGACATTAGAACCATCTCTTGCTTTTGGTTTGCAGGGGGAAAAAAAAACGGAGCCATTTTAACCTAGGTTCCCAGCCTTCCGGGAACACACACACACACACACACACACACACACAGGCAGGGTACTTGGCCCCTGGTTCACTGTCACAGTCCTGGAAAAGTGTCCTTCATTTTCTTGCCTTGATTTCACATCATTTTGCTTCCCTTCTCAAAATAAAACCATGTCGTAGCACAGCAATCTTAGACTTTTTCTAGTAAGGGCACTTAAACGCCACTCTTTCCTTCACCAGGACTTCGAGTGTGTTTGTTGACTCTGAAATCTATTTATAGACAAGCCTCCGATGGGAAACACACTTCAAAGGATTTGAAGGAACACCGGACTGGGACTAACTTCCTAACCATGGTTGTCTGATTTGGCTGCAGCAGCGACTTTCAGCCAGGTGCCGCGAGAATTGGAAAAACATGCAACACTGACTATTTAGTCTGGGGCACTGACCTCTCTTCCCTTAGACTGTCCAATAAAAAACGACCACAGCCAATGCAACAATAGCCCTCGGGTGTGAATGAGTCAAAATTATACCTATTTTGGGGGGTCAGATTAACAACAAAGAATTTGGTGTGCCACAGACTTTTAGTAATTTGTCTACATGTGCCATGAAGACAAAAACTTTCAAAGCCAAATTCTTTGGCTTTGGATTAGAGGGTGAAGCCTGAGTTGAGCATCTATTACAATGACAGGGAGGTATTCTTAGGTTACCTCTAAGTTAGATTTAACCAGTTATTTCATCCACGGCAGCTTTCATGGGACATCAGACACATGAACTCAGGAAATCCAGGGAACGGCTGTGGGGTTCACTGCTGTAGGGTCAGAAACACATCCAGGGCATCGTGGCAATGGCTGAGGCTCCTGAGAGAACCATCCTTGAGCAGACCACTGGAAGAGCCACGAGGGCCACAGGTGAGGCCCAGGGGATGGAGGGCAGACGGCAGGGTCCGACAGCAGGCGCCCTCGGAGCCCCTGCTCATGGGCCTTCTTCCGTTTGCAACTGCCCTTCCTGTGGGTGAGAGCCTGGCTGCCTCTCCAAGACCAGCTCTAGCATCGTTTTCCAAGAAACCACCCCTGAGTTTCCCCAGTGAGAAAGCCATCTCTCTCTCTCCCCGCCCCACCCCAGTTCCTAAGACTTTTGTTCATATTTCTCATGAAGGACCTGTCTTCTTCTGCTTCATGATCTGTGTGCATGCACAGGGCTTCTCTCCCCACAGGTCAGCTCCTGCATGGTGAGATCTATGTGCCGAGCTCGGCTCTGGATGCCTTACACTCATTCTCTTTAATTCCCATGAACATGCTGCACAGTAAATGCAGCCGGGCCTCCACGCCCACGGCTTTGTACCTGCAGATTAAACCGATTTCAGGTGGGAAACAGAATCTTCCAGACACAGTTGGGAATCCACGAAGGCAGAGCACCGACTATATGTACTGTTCCACACCATCTGACATGAGGGATTTTGATATCTGATGGGAGGTCCCAGAACCAATCCCCCACATACACTGAGAGACATTGTATTAGACCCACTTCACAGATGAGGAAACTGAGGCTTTGTAGGATTCGGATAATTAGCCAAAATTACACACCTGCTACACAAAGAAACTGAGACTCACCCCCAGAGCTGGCTGGCCCCAGGGCCCAGGGGTTAGCCACACCCCCCACGGCCCCTAATGTGATTGAGTTGTTTCCTAAACGATGTTCTGTAACTCACCACAATATCACTGAACATGTCATCAGCCTCCATCAACATTGCTACACGTGATTACTTCCTGTCTCCCTATTTTTTTATAGACATGTTTTCAGCTCAATGAATTTAAAAGTTTACTCTAACTAGATCAAGTATCATATATCTAGTTGTTATTAATACTATGTGATCTAAGAAATGCTACTTTTCCTCCAGGATTGGGAGGTTAACCCTAAGGAGAAATCTTTATCATACTTACATGGTGTTGGAAGTATACAGAGAAAAGGGCTATAAGAGTGACAAGAGCTACCATTTACTAAAAAGCTGGTGCGTCTGCATTTCACAGGCATTCTCTGTAGTCCTGACAATAACCCTATACCTCCCCCATTTAATAATCCAGGAGACTAAGAAACCCAGAGCCACTCCCTGAGACTGCTCTGTGCGGTCTCTGGGTCTGCAGGCCAACGGCATTCCAGAATGTCCCCAACAAATGTGGCAGTCACATGCCCACCCACTGCCACGGGGGTTCCAAAAGGAGGTGAGCAAAGGATCTCACAACTCACTAGGTGACTCCCTGGTGTCTGAAAGAATGTGTGGCCCCCTGCTAACCAGAGTCGCAGCTGACATTTCCGGATGGCAGCTAAACCTCTTAGAAACCTTTCTGGCTCAGAAAGGTTTGTAGCAGAAACATCAGAGGCCCAATCAGGTAATAGGGCGGGTCCGAAGGGGCAGTGGGCAAGGGGCAAAGCCAGGGTCAGAACTCCGCTCTTTCCTTCCCCTCCACCCCGGGCCTCCCTTCCGACCGAAGCCCTGACTCCTGTCCCCGTGTCGTGCAGAACGAGACGACAGTCCATGTTTGCACGTCCACTGACGTAGAGGAGAATCACTGTGCAGGCCATCCTGGCAGGGGCCTCCCTCCTCCAGAGTCCATGTGTCACACAGACCACCCCCACAGAGGGTGGGCGGAGCCCCAGGACCGGCCGCCATTACTGGCCCAGGCACCCCACGTGGCACTGGCAAAGGCGTCAGCGGTCCTGGGAAAAATGCTGAATGACAGCCACTGTTCCCACAACTGCTTTTCTCTACAGATGCTCCAACATGGGGCTGCCCTATAACCAGGAAGGCAAGGACCCAGAAAGAAAGAGCCAGGTGCTGGCCTAGGTCTAGGGAGTCTAACCTGGACATCAGAGATTTATTCGAACTTGACTGAGGTAAAGAGAAGATGCCTGATGTCTGTTTATTCCACATCCCACATTCCCCCGGCATCAACCACCTGCTTTTAAAAATAGTGCTTCTTTACATTCTTTCTCAATTAAGAGGCAGCAAGGCACCATGGGAAAGCACAGAATCTAGTTGTGCAAAAACGGACCTGAACCTGAGCTCACCTGTTCAGGTGAGTTGTTTCATCTCTCTAAGCCCCAGTGTTACCAACAATAAAATGAGGCTGCAAACACTGAAGACAAGAGCAGAACATTAAACGCCCCCACACTTTCATGTGCACCCGTGAGAGGGAGAAACAGCACATGGAATCGATAAATGGGAGCCATTATTATTACTGCTTTACATTCATTTTCTCTCTTTTCTTATCCAGCATATATACTGTTAAATAAAAACATGGCTCGCTATGCTACCTTGATGTCATTTCCCAAAACACATTAATCTCTTATCAATAACCCAGGAAAAGAGAAACCAAAGCCCATCAAAATAAGCAATTATGTTTCACCCATATCATCATAAAATGTTACTCAGCTGATATGATCTACGATGTCCGAGCCTTTGTTCAAGCAACATCACTATTTCCTCACAAAGCTGGTGTGAGACCTCCAATTCCACACCTTGGGACGTCCACCCAGTCGGCACAGAGGAACGAACGGACAGTCGGCCGGCAGTCCAGACTGTGACAAGCTGGCCCCACGGAGAGCCAGGAGTGCCACTATTCACGGACTTTTATAACCCGAAGCGAGTCACATGGTATTTATCAGCACTCCTTCCTTCCTTCCTTCCTTCCTTCCTTCCTTCCTTCCTTCCTTCCTTCCTTCCTTCCTTCCTTCCTTCCTCCTTCCTTCCTCCTCCCTCCCTCCCTCCTTCCTCCTCCTCCCCTTCCTTCCTCCTCCTCCTCCCCTCCTCCTTCCTTTCTTTCTTTCTTTCTTTCTCTTGTGGCTAAATTATATTCCCCTACCAGTTAAGCTTGGTTTTCATCATTCAATCGTTAATTGCATTTAGATCTCAAGGTGCAATTAAACATTTCATCCTGCCCTTTTCTGAGAAGCTCAGTGTCATTTCTGAACACAGTCTCTCCCCTTGTGAACTGATGCAGCAGGAAAAGGAAATTTCAGATCATTGTGTTGTTTTTGAATAAATTACAAGTCAAAAACAAAGTAGAATGAAAAAAACTGGCAGAACAAATGGGACCCAGGAAACGAACTGACCAAGTGCAAAATGTGGACCCTGTGCGGAGTGTGAGTCAGACTAACAGCCACCAGCATCCCTTCCTGGGATAACGAAACGCAAACACTGACTAGAACACTGATGCTATTTGAGAATTTTGGTCATTTTCGGGTGTGACGATGTGACGGTGTTTTTCCAAGGCTTTCTTATATTTTAGAGATAACTCATGAAACATTTACGGGGGAACTAGTATGAGTCTAGGCCCTGCTCCAGGGACCTCGGGCTGTGGGTGAGGTGAGCAGAGGACGGCAGAGACGGAACAAGCCTGGCCACCGAATGCCAGGGCTGACCCCGGGAAAGCGTGCAGGGGGTTCCTGACACTGCTCTCTCTAGTTTTGCAAAATTTCATAACTGTCCATTTTAAAAAGGTTACAAGTCACCCTGGCTGGTGTGGCTCAGTGGATTGAGCGCTGGCCTGAGAACGAAAGGGTCACTGGTTCAGTTTCCAGCCAGGACACATGCCTGGGTTGGGGGTCAGGTCAGGCCTCCAGTAGGGGATGTGGGAAAAGCAACCAACACTGATGTTTCTCTCTTTCCCCTTCCCTTCCCCTCTTTCTAAAAATAAATAAATAAAATGACATAAAATAAAAATTAAAAAAAAAGAAAAAGGTTAAAAGTCAATAAAACTTCATGAATTAAACCCAAAGGAAAAGGCATTCTGTGGACATCAGTACCACATCGGGATTACAGCGCATGTACACATGTTATTAACCCCGCAGACCGGCTGCAAGGACTACGCAGCATTCAGACACTTTCCACGTGACAAATAAAACTTTTAACAAGCCCTGTAGATGAAACCAATGCAACTATCATTATCTGAAGTGCAAGCAGATGCAGCTCTAAAGTCATCACTCACCTTTTTCAAAGCGCAAGCCTTTATGACTCTTTCGTAGCGTTCCTTCTCATACTTCTTCCCAAATAAAATATTACTCCTCACGGTGCCTGAGAACACCCAGGGCTGCTGAGAGACATAGGCGACCCTTCCGTGCACAGTGACCAGTCCCTGGTGTGGCGGCAGCTCGCCCAGCACGGCGCTCAACAGCGATGACTGAAAGAGATGACGAACGAATACACGTCACAGGCGGCGCGTGGAAGCAGCTGCTGCAACGCGGCCCAGCCCTGGGGTCTGGACACCGTCACGGCCCCGCCACATAAAGGGGAGAAAGTGCAGCCCTGGAAGGTACAACTAAAAAAATCTACAGTAACACTACTGGTCAGGGTGCACTAATGGTTGATAAGGGCTAGTAATAAGAGTAGAACCCTGGCTGGCGTGGCTCAGTGGGTTGGGCATCTTCTGGCAAAGTGCAAGGTCAGGGGTTCGATTACCAGTTGGGGCACATGCCCGGGTTATGGGCTGACTCCCCAGTCAGGGCGTGTGTAAGAGGCAACCGATCGATGTTTCTGTCTCACACTGATGCTTCTCTCCCTCTTTTTCTCCCTTCCCTCCCCTATCTCTGGAATCAAAAAAAGAAAAAACATTAATAAAACAAAATAGAGTACAACAAGCTCAGTCTGCCCAAAAGTTTTGCCCCAAGTGACATGCTACACTCAACAAAGACAAATAGAGGATGTCTGCCATTAGTAACCAACAGAGTCACCTGGAATGATACGTATTTCACATGCCTGACATATGACACCTTTGTCCCAGCGACCGGGTACCCTGTACCTGTTCCCTGAAAGCTATGGGTCCACAATACAGGGTCCAGCACGAGTGACGCCCCTGCATTACAAAATCTCTTCTTAGGAACTCATAAGCATATGCTTTTCTAACATAACATCGTCACCCTCCAGCACACCACATGACATTTCAGGTGAAACACTCGCATGAAAACTATAAATGATCACACCCGCATCATTACCAACCGCACACAAGCAGGCCTCACTCCTGCCGGGCCCTGCACATCCAGTGCACCGGAAAAGATTCTTTAAAGGAACTCTGAAGGGAGTCACGTTTCCAAACAGCGAAAATCCATCCTAAAAGAACAGTCCCCGTCATTTCCACAGCCTGCGTGTAGATTTCTGTGTTTTATTGTTTCAGAACACATAAGACCAGGTGTGACACACGTCCTCCAAATCTGTCACGACATACAGACATGATACGTCCATGCCTCTGTGAGCAGAGTGCTCACCCCACGGGGCTGAAATCATCTGTTTACCCATCTGTCTCGCCCACGACCGGGTTGCATCTGGAGGGCAAAGCTGCCTGGGTCCTATCCCGCCTGTATCACCCGCTCCCAGCACCACGGTCTGTGCATGGCAGCGCACTTACTAAGCATGTGTGACCAGGATGTGTCAGATGAAGAACTGTTCAAAGTTTTCTGGAAGAGCTTTTTTTACAACCTCCAGACTTCCTAGAAGCCCCAAGAAGAAACACAGAATGGGCTGCACCCAGATTTATCGGGCCCTGCAACCCTCTTGCAAAATGAATGCTCCAGGAAACATGCTTTGAGAAGTGCTATTTTAGATACACTCAGCTCATACTTGTGAGTCAAGAGGGAGAAACATCGTTGTGAGAGAGACACGGTGAGTGGTTGCTTCTCCCATGCACCCCAACCAGGAACCGAACCTGCAACCTGTGCCCTGACCGGCGACCTTGCGGTGTATGGGAAGATGCTTCAACCCACTGAGCCACACTGGTCAGGGCTCAACCCTGACACCTGAAGAGGGCATGTGGCGTCACATGAAGCTGCCAAAAGAACCGACACCTTACCTTTCCGGCTCCCACAGGTCCAACCACAGCTAACAATTCGCCAGGTCTGACGGTGAAGGAAAGGCCTTGCAGCGTTGGGGTTTCTGACGCCTGCAAATTCAAGTTTACGAAAGAGTGTCCGTTTCAATAAAGCAACACACACCACTTCCGAAAGTGGAGAAAATGATATGATAGTCACTGATATGACAACCCACATCTCTCTCTGTCCTATTTTAAGATTCTGCAGCCCAGAGGTGCTTTTTCATCCAATCACATCTCTTTGGGGTTTGAACCAGCTCCCACTGCCTTCAGGAAGGGCCAATTCTTTTAACTTATTTCCACATGCAACCAGCTCTAGACGCAGAGTGCAAGTTCAGCAAATGACAAGGCACCTCCTCAAAATGAAAACTTCTTGACACACACTAACTTATTGATAATGACACACTTAACAGAACATTCAGCGTTGGGAGGGTTTAATCCCTTATAACCATAACCATTGGTTTTACTCTTATTTCACCCATCTCCACAAGGTGGCGGCAAAAGTACGCGGCATGCCTGCACGTCACTGATAAACAATTTGAACTCTCTCCCTTTTCACTTGATAAAAACCACATCCACTCATTGCACAAGTGAGAGGCCAGTCGGTGAGACCTTCCCCCACCTACCTGACCGGCTATCTAGCGGCACAGGTAAGAGGGTCTATGCCTTTCTCCCACACTAAAACCCAGCATGCACTTCGCTTTGACTCAGCTTCTCTGCAAAGCCCAGTGACCGTGCCCCTCCCCCACCCAGGGCTCTGCTACCTCACCTGACACCCCCTAAGCACCCCCTAGCATGGGGCGTAATGCATCCACAGGCAACGCCCGCACAACAGAACAGGGTGATCTGTACCACAATGCGAGCTGCAGAAAGGGCTGAGAACATGTTGCTAAGATTCTGGGAAGGACAACAAAACAGCTTATTTTACAATGCTGAGTAATTGGTTACAAAAAGAAATTTGGTCAGGGGTCATACAGAGTGGGTGTTAGCTACCTCGGTGATTCATGGAACTCACTGCATTCAAGAGAGTGCATCTTTATAATGAATTTTAATGTGCTTTCTATAAATGCTCGACAATGGATTGTGATGAGCAGTACAAAGCAGGGGGTAAATCTAACACGTGAAGGCAGGGTAGGCTGGGAAAGTTTCCAGGTGCAAAAGGGGCAATGTGGTAGCTTTATACACTGGGTATTACTTTGCTGGAGATGGCAGACCCTGAGTTAAAACTATGTGGCCCCGAGTGGTGTGGCTCAGTGGGTCGGGCATCACCCCACAGAGCAAGAGGTCACTGGTGCGATTCCTGGTTGGGGTATATGCCTGGGTTGTGGGTTCAGCCCCAGGTTGGGGCATGTAAGGTCGGGGAGGAGGCAACAGAATGATCAATGTTTCTGAAGTCAATGTTTTTCTCCTTCTTTTTCTCTCCCTTCCCTTCTCTCTAAATAAATAAAATCATTTTAAAAAACAAAACTATGTGACCAGTACTAGAAGGTGGCACAAAACGTAACAGTCACAGGCAGGAAATCAGTCTCCAGCAGGGGTCCCCCAGCCTCCAGGCAGTGGACTGGTACTGGTCACTGGTCTCGGCCTGCTAGGAACCAGGATGCACAACAGGAGGTGAGCTTGAATGTGATGGGCTTGACTTGCCCTGAAACCATCCCCCATCCCTGACCTGGTCCGCGGGAAAACTGTCAGCCACGAAACTGGTCCCTGATGCCAAAAACACTGGGAACCGCTGGTCTGCAGAGTCTGGACGCCTGGACCATCGGCAAAGGGAGAACTGGCGGTGGCGGTGGGAGTGAGTGCAGGCTGGGCACCTGTTTACTCAGGCCCCGGTTCCTGACTTCGCCTGGCTGTGATGGGAACTGCCAGCTGCTACGCACGCACTGCAAACTTTCCAGACAGCTCCAGCTCAGCCCTCGGAGAGCAGAGCAGGACTGCACCGTCTGAGACAGGGAGGAGCCGCTACCCACGGCTTCCAGCTGCCCTCCCGGGACAGTCACATCGCCTCTGCAGAGCCAGCACCGACAGCATGGCCCTCGGCTCCTGGGTTCTCCTCCCTGAGACCCTGCGGCCCCAGTGGGGAACATGGTTTAGCTCTTACCATTGCTAATCTCTTGCTCCCACCCCCTGCCACCTACATGACTAATTCCCTGCATGAAACTCCCTCCACTGTGGTGTGTGTTCTGTTCTCCTGGCTAACCCTACGGATACAGCAGGCTGTGCACCCAGGACCAGGGAGCCAGGGAAAGAAGCAAACCAGGTGTGAAGAGAAGGGGCTGCCTGCCCTGAGTGTGCAAGTGGGAGAACTTCTTGAGAGTGGTTCTTTTTCCATCCCTATTTGTGTAAATGTCACGAATAAACCAAGTGTTGGAAACAGCCACGTAATCTTGCCAGTTCTGGCTGTGAGTTTGCCACAGAGTGAAACCCTGAGACGGGGGCTCACCGGAGCCCCCGATGCCCACCTGCTGCCACCTCCCTGCTCTGAGCTGCCGCCCAGGCAGCCAGCACCTTGTAGAAGCTTACACAGGGGAGCCCCAGCCGCCCTCCCAGCAAAGATCCACACAGTGGCTCCATCCAGAATGCAGTAAGACGGCCTGGTCACAACCAAGATAAAAAAAGGTACACGCTAACCCTGTAAATTCTAACATTACAAACCAAGATACTTTAAATTCAAAATGTGCTCAGAAACACTTTGAAAGTGCTCTTCAAAATGAAATAAAAAACATGTCAAATACCTGAGGCTGATTTTATGCTTAATCTACATTCACTGCGACCTTATTCCTGCTTTTGAGAGTTTCTGTAACATGCATTCAGTACACATAAGCAAGTCCCACTCGTACCAGGTGTAAAATCTCCTAATTCTCTACTAACTCTCAGTCACCACTTGTCTGTTAGCGGTCACACCCGTGTAACGGAGGATTTGTTACCTTATCCCAAAAAGCAGTAAAATCTTGCACATGCACTACCATTTTACCGTCTGAGGGCAGCAGCACACTGGGCTCTTTTATCTCATCGAGCAACAGAAAGTCCTGGGGAAACAGGAAAACATGGATTGTTTAAACTGCAGCAACAAAAATCACAAACAACTGCTTTCCTGGAACGTGCAATATAAGCCTTAAAACACAGGGTTTGCATCATTTTACCAACTGCATTTAAAGTGTAAGCGCACATCAGAACGTACCACACAGTGTACAGTTCAGCTCACTGTGGACGGTGCGGGTTAGAACCGCACGGGCCCACTTACACACAGGTTATTTTTTCCAGAAGCACTGTGAAGGTATTTATTTTCTCATCCTTATGACTTTCTCAGTAACATTTTCTTTTCTCTATGTTATTTTACTGTAAGAAGACAGCATACAGTACATATAACCTACAAAATGTGCATTAAATCGACTATTTACGTTCTTGGTAAGACTTCCAGTCAACAGCTGGCTATTAGTAATTAAGTTACATATCGGGTTGGCCAAAAAGTTCATTTGTTTTTTTCTATACAATGGCGCTCGTAGGGCTTAGCTGTCTTTAACTTCATTCAAAACTATTTCAATATTAGTATATGTAATGTATATTATATAAGTTACATATATACAGGGTCTGGCATAAATAACACCCCGTTTTATTACAAAACCTCTTATCACAAAATCAAGGCATGTCATTCTGTAACATGACAATACCACACTCAAGTGCACCATGTGGCATTTTAGGTGAACTGTTCAAATTAAAACTATGAATTATTACACCCGCATAATCGCCTTACCAACCACACTCAAACAAGCACATATTACTTCTAATATACAGCGTCTGCTGGAGTTCATGGCCACAAGGCCACCTTTGTAACTTTCTCAACAAGTGCACTAGTTCCACTGAAGAGAAAACAGGGCTCCCAGCATGCATACATTTAGAACCCGGGCATTTTTATTGTTTTATTAGTGCATGACGAACGGTAATCATGGGAGTTGGTAGGAAATGATTCCATAAACATTTACTGCGCCGAGCACCAAGTGACATGCTGGGAAGGCCGGGACCAAGGCCGCTCCCGGACCCTCAGGGGATCGGCTGGCGCAGGAGCCCCCTGGCTGGGACACGGGGCCAGGGGCCGAGACTCCTGGAAAGCCCCCGAGCCACTGTTTATCTCCTGTGACCTTTAGCTGGGCCCCGAAGCACATACCCTACTTATCTCCCCATACAGGGTCAACGTATATCACTGCTTGTCCTTACTATCACTTAAAGTCCTTGGTCTAAAAAGAAAACAGGCTTGGTATGTGTCTATCACTTAAAAAGGTATTTTATAAGCATCTTTAAAAGGTCTTTTGTAACATCTTTTCACAAGCCCTTGACTGTTCCCCTTAGCAAATGCCCTCCGGGCAGCAGGGACCCTGGATATTCCAAGTCTTGCTAATTCTCCCTACTGGTTAGGAGCTGGTCAAAATGCCGGCACTGAATGAAAATGTCCGGAGAACCTCCGCCAATCGAACAGAGAACGCCATCCAGGGAAATGTCCTCCTGCTCTGCACGTGGTAGACTGAGAAAAGCTGTAATGGGGCAGAAACTGAATAAACAACCGAGACCCCCCCAACACCGCAGCCCCCCACCCAAAACCCGTGCACATGTGGCAGGCTGTTCACTGTCCCCCACATCTGCTCTCCTTCTTCCGTGGTGGCAAAACCCCAACTTTTAGCGGGCCCTTGGAGGTCTAAAGGAGGACCTCTCTGCCCAGCCTCCAGTGCAGCTAACCAGAGCCATGTGACAAAATTCAGACTGGTGGAAAATGACAATGTCCCAGAACCTTCCTCTCCCCCACAGCCCAGGACACAGTGGAGTAACAAGAAAGAGTCTGCGTCCCTGACGCCATCAAGGATAGTACTAGCCCGGGACTCATCACAAAGTGAATTCTGCCCCCAGCAAAGTTATGTTGAAGTCCTAACCTCAGCTACCTCAAAATGTGACTGTGTTTGGAAATAGGGTCTTTGCACAAGTGATTGATTAAGGGGTGGTCACGCTGGCGTGTGGCGGGCCCTGTATCCAACGTGACTGGTATCCTTGTAAGAAGAGAAGAGAGAGGGAGGGACAGACACACAGGCAGGAAAGAGCCACGTGGCGGGGACCGGAGGCATGTGCTCATAAGCCCAGGCCCACCATGGTCTGCAGCAACCACCAGGAGCTAGGAAGGGCAAGGGTTCTCCCTGCAGACTTCAGAGGGGTCACGGCTCTGCCGACACTGTGGTCTCAGACTCGTAGCCCCCAGAACTGCCGAACGATAAATCTGCTACCGCATCCTTAGGAAACCCATGCAGAACCTGACAAGGGTATTTTGCACGAGAGAAAAAGAGAGCTCCTGGGGTAAGCCGCTTTAGCGTGGGTGTGCCGGAACCCACGGGCAAACCTAACCCTGAGCAGCAGAGGGGGCAACTGAAATAAGCTTGTGAAAACATTTGAGAAAGACAGAACAGCACACAAACAAGTCGGCTGCTATTTCAAAAACCGTACAAACCCTTAACATGCTTGTGTCTCTCTCCACAAAGCTACACATTTGATGGCCATGCTCTGCTTCTGAAGAACAACTCGTTAAAAACTGGAAACAGAAACATCTGTGTAGGAAAGGGGACTGTGTGCCTGTGCATTTCTCTCAGAGACCCAGCGACAGAGAGGCGAGGTCTGCTCCTTGGTTCCTGTGCTCCCCTTCCCACCCACCCAGGTTCGTGGAGAACCTGCTTGAGAGCGGGCACTGCTGCCGCCGGCCCGAGCCCAGGGCTAGGCAAGGGGGCCGGCAGGACAGACTGCTCTGAGGCCACCTCTGAGGCTTTCAATCCATCACAGCTTGATTTCTCCCTGCACACCGCCTCTCCCAGCCGACCCAGTATCCACTCTAGCCTGTTCTGCCACAATCCAATTCTCTCCTCTCTCCAGCTCTCTTGTCCTCCAGAAACAACACTGATTTCAGAATCTCCCACACCACCAATTGTTGAACACTTGAAGGAACACTTCCTGGTTCCTTCCCTGGCCAACTCCAACACCCATGAACCTATCCCGAACAGTCACTCCCTCCTGGCCTCCTCAAAACACCTGAGAAGGGCCCCGGCTAGTGTGGTTCAGTGGGTTGAGCTTGGACCTGTGAAACAGAGAGGGTCACCTGTTCAATTCCCAGTCAGGACACGGGCCTGAGTTGCAGGCCAGGTCCCCAGTAGGGGGCACACGAGAGGCAACCACACATTGATATTTCTCTTCCTCTCTTTCTCCCTCCCTTCCCCTTTCTCTAAAAATAAATAAATAAAATCTTTTAAAAAATACCTCTGAGAATGTCCAACATGCTAATAACCTTTTAGCAACCCATCAGCAGCTCAGTCCACGCTCCCGGAGTGGCCTCGGTCGTGAGACCCTGAGTACCCATCCTACCCCCCTTCTGAGTCCATCTCACAGCCTAACCTACTAGGAAGCAGATCAGGGTGGCCCCAGCTGGCACTGCCCTCCCTCTCTTGGCGTTCCCCAGGGGGATTTTAAGTCTTGTAAAGGGTGGAGACTGTGTCACCACACAGCTGACAAACACAGGTTCAACTCCGACCGACACCATGCTTCACACGGAGTCGGCAGAGCCCAGAGATCTGCTGGAGCAGCGAACACACTACAGCGTTGGCCCAAAAGAGTCCCACCAGTGGACGCATCACCACTGCCTCACGCAGGCAACATGCCACATGCAAAGGTAATAGATGTTATAAATCACGCCTCAACAGAACAAAATTCTGACTTTAGCTGAGGCACACAACCATCCCGTGAAATTCAACCATCAGTGTGCGCACATTAAAAATATCCCACTTTTTTAAAGGAGAGGAGGAAGCTCTGACTGGTGTGGCTCAGTTTGTTGGGCATTGTCCCGCAGAGCGAAAAGTCACCGGATCAATTCCGGGTCAGGGCACACACCAGTTCAGGCCCCTGCTGGGGCACGTACGAGAAGCCACCAGCGGATGGTTCTCTCCCACATTGATGTTTCCCTCTCTTCCTGCCTCCCTTCCTCTCTCTCTAAAAATAAGTAAATAAAATCTTTTAAAAGAAGAAAAACGATGTACAAAGTGAGGAAGTAGATCTATCAAGCATTTGTCCATGAAGACATCTGAGTGCAGAGAGACGTCACAATCTTCTGGCTTGAAACAGTGCCAGAGCCCTGGGTGGATTTTCTTCCGGGTCTCAGGCTGATGGAAAAAGCCGAAATTCAATTGCCTTTAGAGCCACACAGAGCATACCCAGAACAGGTCATGCGGGAAGTGTCAGATGCTGGGACTGAGCCAAAACAGATTGCCTTCCAAGCAGTTGGGGGCAAAAACCTAAGCAGAGACAAATTTTAGTGGTTGTAAAAGCCGCTGAAGACTTTCAGTGCTTTGAAGTTGAGACAAGATCTTTTATAATCCTATTGGACTCTTTCAATGCCAAGACCATCCATCTTCTTTCCTCGGTAGGAAAAAAAAAAACTGCCTGAGCCTATAACTTCCTAAGAAAGCCTTCATCTAACTGCACATGAAAGAGGAAATTGAAAAGCACGTATAAAAAGGAAGATGCTACAGTATAAAGCTCACATGTAGGTTTGCAGCAGCAGCGGCGGCGACATGGACAGCAAAGCGGTCACCTGCAAAAGCTGCGGCACACGTTTAATCTGTCCCTGTGGTCCAAAGTGCATTCCTAAATGTCTTCTTTCAAACAAGGAAGCTACATACAAAAAATTTTACTGACCTGCATGGACCATCCCTCACCAAGGCTGCTAGAAACTCCCATCAGCAAAAAAAAAAACAATGATAAACACGGGGGACCAGAACAAACTTAATCATAAAAAAAAAAAAAAGAATTCCGCTTTTATGACAAGAGCCACACCCCCTGCCCCCACCCACCACCAGCACCACAGAAATGCACACCACGCTACCCAACGTGAGAAAACACCTACTCCCAGGCACGCACCACCATGGAGAAGCAGGAACGGAACCGGCTAGTTCTCCGGTGAAGCCCAGCCCCTCGGGTCAGGGCCAGGCCCCCACCAGCAGACAACTCACCTTCATTTTAGACCTGTTCACAAACGCACAAGTTCCTGATCACCTACTGTGTGCCGGGCCCTTAACCTGGTGATGCAAATTATCTGCCCCCAGCAATTTAGGAACAGCTAGTTAGGAAAATGCAACAGAGGGTATAGTGGAAGTTAAAAAAAAATGAATGGAAGAGGCCTGCTAGAGAGAGGCCAGGGCAGGAAGAAAAGGCGCAGAGGACAGGAACAAGGCGGAGCTCCAAGAGGCAGATGGAGAGATCACAAGACACGCACCCGTGGAGGAAAGAGCCCATTCTTAAATACAGAGAACTCAGCGAGGTGCAAACCTCCTCCTGTCCAGGGAACAGGGGCCCCCCAGCAGTTCCTCCTTCCACGGCCCAGAGAGGACCCCCATCCACTGCAGGACTGTGCAGCCCCTACCTTGTCATTCCAGCCTGTACAGGAGACAAACTCGGTCTCCCTGCCCTGCTGTGACACATTTTAATCACCCTGCAGTTACAACCTGCACATCCAACACCCTGTGCCGCTATTCACAGCACTGCCCGTAAGCGATCGCCGTGCTGGGCATTGCTTGTGATGAGCTCTGCCTCAACAACTGGGGACAAGACGGCATGACCTGGAATGACGGCAGGTCACCACACTGGGACACAGTGCCACTAAGTAAAAGGAGGCATGGTTTTTTCTTGAGAGCCGCCTACAGCTTTAAAAAAGTTACATGTCACCAAACCTTGATTCTTCGGATGCTGACGATGGACTCTGACACCTTCTCGATGGCTGCGGGGAAGAAGAGCGTGACCGTCAACTGCACGGCCCTGTAGAGTGCCACCGCCACAAACACGCGGCTGGCCGTGATCACGTTGCCAAGGAGCACGTAGACAGTGAAGGTCACGAAAACGATGATCTTGCTCGCAACGAAAAACGATGCCAGATTCAATCCCCTAAGGCAGGAACTTCTCAGAATCTTGGAGATCTCCTTCCTAGAAAAGAGGAGGGTGTAGGTGTTAAAGGGGAGCATCGACGTCCAAGTCAGGAAATGAGTTCGAGGGCCTTCTGCACGCGGCCTCGTTCTAAGGAGTGGACGTGCTTCAAGGAGAACTCCCGTCCTAAGTCGCAGTGCTGGGGCCGGCTCCCCACAGGGATCGCGTGCTCCATGACAGCTCGCTCATCCAACTCAAAGAGGGCTAAGGTCGCACTTCGACATTTGGGGTCAGTCTGACTGGGCCTGAGCATTCGTTCTTGAGCACCAGGTCACTGAGGACCGACAGATGCATCCTGTCCCTTCCAGGAGCACATGCACTTGTTGGAAAAGGGAATAAGGAAGTCAAAACTCGTGAGATATGAGGCTATTAGACGGAAGCAGCCCGCGCAGGCCCCGCGGGGGCCGCAGCAGAGGGGCATCTAACGGGGATGAGTGGAGTGAGGCTGAGGTGCAGGCACACAGGACCTGAGAGGCGGAGCTCAAGTGAGTCCGGGATCAGAGCAGAACCAGAAGGACAGAGCTTTCGATTTCTTAAAAATAGGAACAGAGGGTACGATATACACAAAAGCTTACCTCCTCAAATGGGTAATAAGGTCCGCAAATGACTTTTCCCAGGCATACATTTTTATTATTCTGATGCCGGTGATAACTTCATTCATGGTTCTGATCCTGGCGTCTGTGAAAGCTGCGGTCTTGCTCCTGAGGGGACAGAGGCGAGCGGTGAGCCATGGCCCCCACACCCCAACGGCCCCCCTCCTCAGAGGCCACGGGTAGAGGCCAGGAGCCGATGACTCCCTACAGCTCTTCTGTGCTGACAACGCAGGCAGGTCCTCCTCACAACGCACGTGGGGAAGGCCTTCCATTAGGACCTCAATGATCCATCCCAGCTCCAGCAGTAATTTGGAGAACTGGTGATATCCGCTGAGGAAGATGATATTCCATCCACTCGAGGTCATGATTGGGGAGCGAAGAGAGGAATAGCCCCCAAATCTAACAAGAACACAGCTGACTGCACTGTCATATATTAGGCATGAAGGAGAAAAGAAATAGCTGTTTGTTCTACTGGGAAAGGAAAGAGCAAAGAAGTTTCAGAATTCTGGGAACACTGGAATAGGCCTTGAAGGATCAACCACATCTCTCCACGGCAAAGAGGAGAAAGGATGTTCCAAGGAGAGAAAAATACCAGGTACAGGGGCACAAAGGGAGGACCTCAACGTGCTTCAAACTGCCCAGCTCCATCCATCTGACAACCTTAGCAATGACCCACTTCCAACCCTCTGGGATCTGCCTTAGGTCTAATTCAGCACCATTAGGCTCTCCATCATCAGCCACTTGTCTGTCACAGACACTGTCGGGACTGTGAACGTTATGAAGACATAAATAATTAAAACCAACGTTGCCCTTGGGGAGCTTATAACTTAATGGAAAGAGTGAATTATAAAAACAGTAACACGCACAGCCAATGGCTCTTACACAAGCATAATAAAAGTATATGCAGCTAGAATTGGGCCCATAAGCCCTCTAAATGTATTGCTATTTAATAATTTTAAAATAACTTTGATGCATATAAATTCCGCTTAAGTATACTCTACTTAGTGAGGTGTAGCACCTAAGAAGCTAGCCAGGAGAAGCCAGCAAATACCTTCTCTCTGCTGCAAGACTAGCTTTCAGCCTGAGGCTGGAGCCCCACCCACCAAGCCTGAAGACAGCAAGCACAGGCAGAGAGGAGGTCAGAGAGGGCATTTGTTTTGTTCTGGAACTAAAGCATCAGGCAGCCACCTAACATGTATTACTGCATCACACGTCACCTACGCGCGTCGCTCTTACCGCAGGGAGGAGAACAGCTTGCCGAAGCCGCTTTGCAAAGGCAGAAGGATGATCAGAACGGCCATGCCGCCAAGACAGGATATTCCAATGTCCATCCAAAGCAGGACCGTGACCCCGATGGCCTGCAGTGGGCCTACCCACAGAAAGTGCAAGAATATCGTTACCTGGGAAGAAAAAGACAAAGCCTTTTGAGGACTGTTTGAAAGCAAAACCAGTGCAAGAGACAGGACAGAAACAATCTGCTCCAACCCGACAGGACAGGTGAGAACCCAGACGGAAATGATCTGGGGGGTTTTTAGCAAAAGCAGAGTTACCTATCCTTCTGGGACAACGCTAGGCAGGCCACCGGCACTTCCAGGGAGAGCCCGACTCTCACAGAGTGGGAAGGAATGTCTCAACTTTGTCTTCCCCACAGATGAGCTCCGGGCTTCCCCAAACTCTGCCTTAAAATCCTGCCCTACCTCCCCGGGGCTCTCCACCACCCAGGAAAGCCTACATTTCGGTATGTAAATCATTATGTGTGTGATTATCTTCCCGATTGGCCATGGCTCCCCTAGGGCAAACGTCTTAGTGATCCCTGCAACTGAATAGGAGCCTTAGTTCACTGTTGCTAAGTGAATGATTGGAAGAGAAGGGATCTAATGGCCTGCAGATCTGACCAGCAGCAATAATGCCCTGCATGGTGATATATTCACAAGGTAAGTGGCAAAGGAGAGTGTGGGGGGTTGGGAGAGCAGGCTGTTTCTGGCTAGGGACCACCCATTTGCCATTATTTACCGAAGGCTTCCTGCATAGCAGGCACTGCACAGGACACATGGAGAAGAATAATCCCTGCCCACCAGGAGGTCATCAGCTAGAGGGGGAGGAAGACCCCTCAGCCAGCACTCCCAATGCAGGGTGCTAAGAAGGGCCACACCAGGCAGATTCTTAAGAACACTGACCCAGGCTGGGAAAGGATGCTGCAGCCTATTTACTACTGAATTCCATTGTGGGCAACATTAGAAAAACAAAAGACTCACCTGCAGGATACCAAAGTGACACACAGAAGAAAGGCGAGTTAAATTACACACACACACACACACACACACACACACACACACACACACACACATACACACATGTTTATGCCCTCGGCAGAATCCTGGCCTGCACCAAAGGCTAGCACCTGACATTCCAACAAGGTAAACCACGGACGAAGGTGGGGAACGAGGAAGGCCCACTCGGGAGCAGCTCACCTGATCGAACTTGTTCACGTCGTTGGACAGCAGGTTGACGATCTGGCCCGTGGTCGTCTTGCCCATGGCCACGTTACTGAGGCGCAGAGCCTGGAGGGAGACAGGGAAAGAGAATCACACCCCGACGCTGACACCAAGCCACACTCAAGTTAACGGCTAAACGGAGAACGTTTCCATGGGGTCTCGTGTGACATCCAGACAGGCAGGATGACCCACAACAGCAGGGACCCAGGGACCCAGGCTCGGCCTTCTACTCTGCTGTGCGGAGTAGATAGCAAAGGAGCAGCCGGAGAACCGCAAAGCACCCCACTCTTCATTTTTTAATACATGTGGACATGCCAGTATCTTTATTAAAGTTTACACTTGGAGGCCAACTACCGCAAGTTTGAGTCGGGTCGGATGAGAATGGAGAACTTGGAAAAAAACATGGAGGACACGGACTGCAAATCTGGATCATTCAGTAATTCTGGGTGTGGCATCATTTCAACGCTTCAGGTCTTGCTTTGCTCGTTCTGTGGCTGGAAATAACCCCTCACCCCGCCTAGATCACATGTTTCCTACGAGAGTATAATGACACCCTCACCGGTATGGCCCGGTTGGCTGGAGTGTCGTTCCATGAACTGAAAGACTGTGGGTTCATTTCCCGGTCAGGGTACCTGCCTGGGTTGTATGTCAGGAGACATGCAAGAGGCAGCCAAATGATGTTTCTCTCTCACATGAATAATTCTCTCTCCTTCTTTCTCCCTCCTTTCCCCTCTCTCTAAAAATCAATGGGCATGTCCTTAAGCAAAGATTGGAAAGAAAAAGAGAGAAATGACAAATATTCACTGCCTGCTATGTAGAGGGTCCCAGGGGGAGGTGGCACGTACCAGAACCTGGAATCCAAGCGTGGCCTGGGCAGTGAGCACCACAGTGCAGGGGGCTGGGAAAGGCTGCGACGCAGTGTCACTGGGGGGCTGGGGGGCGAACCCTGGACGGTGACGAGGAGGAACTACATGGAGAGCACAGAAGGCGGAAGGAACAGCATGCACAGAAGTCGGGGGAAAGCAGCATGTGGTGGGTACAGAGTGAGGAACACCCACAGTCTGGCTCGGAAACTGGGTTGGAAAAACACTCAGGGCTTTGGAAGGCAACAAGGAACCATGAAATTTTTTTACATGGGCATGAGGAACTCAACTTTAGGAAGGTTACACTGTAAATTGGCCAGGAGATTCTTACAAGAAGGGAGAATTACTCCAGGCAAGATGTAATAAGACAGTGCACTAGGGCTGTGCGAATGAAAGAAATGGCCAGACAGAAGGGGAACACTGTGCAAACTGAAAATGCTACGCAGATATAAGTGAATCAGTCACAAAATATCAAGGAAGGAACGGAGGGAGGGAGGGAGGGAAGGAGGGAAGGAGGGAGGCCAGCCGGCCAGCCCTGCAGGAAAGAAACAGAACTTACTGTGCCTGAATGACCAAAAGCTAGCTTCAAAATAGTCTTAAAGCCAATTTTAAAAATAAATTCGTTACTCCTCCATGCAAAAAAATACATTACATATTTTAGACAAGTAGATGTTTGAGGTCTAATTTTAACAAAGTAAGGCAGAATGGTGCACCGAGCTTTTACTCTAAACTAATCATTTTCAAAAAAATCTCAAGCAGCTATATCCGACGAGAACTGTCAGAAATGAAAGTTCTGTCCAAAGAAAACTAGTCCCCTGCCAAGTGGGACACAAACACACAGTGGCATGTCATTGACATTATCGAGGAGGACTCAGCTGACAAGCAAAGGGTACCCAACTTCTGCTTCCAACCGCGAAAGAATAGTAGGTGCTGGACTTGCCCTCCTTGTAAAACTGTAAAACAGGACAAAATACACGAAGAAGCAGCAGCTGTGTCCTGGCACTGAACCAAGGCAGTCCAGGACTGCACACCTGGAGGGAAGGAAAACACAGGAGCGGAGCCCAGGCCTGGCCAGGCCTGCTGCCCTGGAGGAATTCTCTGCCCAAGGAGAACTGCCATTTCACTGAGCCGAAGAAGAGGAAGTGGCTGTTCCAAGTTGCAGAAATATCTGGAATTTGTGGACCAGAGTAGCAGAGGGGAGGCCCCAAAAGTTTCTGTGGGGATTTTCCAAAGCTAATTCTGCAGGGCTTCACTGCCCATGGCCAGGGCAAGACTACCGGGGCCCAGGGAGGGGCAGCAGGGAGCGGAAGGAGCTCCAGAGGTCATGAGGCCAAGCAGTGTCAGAAGACACTGGTTCTGCTCAACCAGAATAAAGGTGCCTCATAGGCACCTCGGCCAGTCAGCTCGGATGCCACAAAGGCCATGCCTTAGTAATAAAGATCTCCCTCCAGAGTAAGAGCTGTGCGCGTAGACTAAGTTCAAAGCTGAAACATCTACCCTAGATAGAGCAGATAGATAGACAGATAGAAAGGCGGGCAGGCAGATAAAAAGAACGAACTGACCAACCATTCCTAACAAGCCCACTTCTGCCAGGAACTGCCTTTCAGAATAAACAGTACAGACTCCCGTAATGTAATCCCCATAACATCTGAAACAGCAGAATGATTACTAGACATGCAAAGAAAATGTGGCCCATCATCAAGAGGGAAACTTACAGACAATAGAAACAGACCCCAAGAGGATCGGGAATTAGGTGAGGTGCACAAAACAACCAGTCAGTCCTCGCTGTGTCCACCCACAGGTCCCGTGACTTTGAGAAAAACGCCATACAATGAAAACAATTTTACCGTTGACATAAACAACTGTGAAATGCACTGAGTGAAACAAAATGATCCAAGGGCCTGCAGTATTACAAATTACGTCCAAGGAGTTAAAGGAAAATATGGTCATAACAAATGAACAGATGAGTAATTTCAGGAAAGAGATGGACATGATCTAGGAAAAACCAAATGTAAATTCTAGAACCAAAAGATACAAAATGAAAAATTCACCAGGTAACTCTAGTAGCAGGAAATTTCCATTGACCTGTTCTGATTCATTAACCCTTTTGTCTATAATTTACAATCTGAAGAACAAATAGAAGAATAAAAAAGAGATAGAAGAAATAAAGCCTGTAAGTTCAATAGGACAATTACCACGCAATGGAACACATGTGTAACTGGAGATCTGGAAGAAGACAACATAAAGGGAAGAAAAAAATACTCCAAGAAATAAAGGCTGAAATGTTCCCAAGTTTGGAGATATATATATATATATATATATATATATATATATATATATATATAGATATATATGGTTTTAGATAGATAGATAGATAGATATAGATTTGCATATGTAGGACTCTTACCAACCCCCAAGAAGGATCAAAATGAAGAGACCTATGCCAAGGCTCATCACTTTAAACTGCTAACAACTAACGAGTAAGAGAAAGTCTTGGAAGCAGCCAAAGAAAGCGACACATTACAAAGGAAGGAACAACAATAAAACTGATAGCTGACTTATCAGAAACAATGGAGAGAAGAACATCTAGAATTATCAGTTACATAGTTGTTGCCATTAGGAGCTACTGGTTGATGGAGCGCACAGATCCCTGCGTATTTATTTACCTCACCATGACCGTAAAAACAGCTGCCATCCTTTGAGCGCTTACAATCAGGCCAGATGCTGTTACAAAGTAAAAACTATTCCCACTTTGCAGATGAGAAATAAGGTGAAAGTGTTTCATGTCTGACAGAAGAAGCACTCGGTCTTTTTTAATGCAGTAAAGTTAACATTGTTTCTCACAAATGCAGAAAATTAAAGTTTGGTTGCCATTAAGTATGTATGTTATAGTTTGTTTTTTAAAAGTTCACATGCAGTGTGGAGAAAAACAATGTGTGAATTTAATGCATTAACTTTCTGCTAATGTTTTGGTTCCACATTTCCTTTAAACTGACATGTTATAATGAATCCTGTTTGGTTAGATTTGTTTTTCTTGTGAAAACAAAAACAGTTCCACCCTGACAACCGCAAAAGGCAAGTAAAACAAACTGGAATCAATACTGGCACCATATATGCCAGACCCACAGTTAATACCTTCCATAGTCAGTCTAAATGTCAGTAAAAAATTATAAACACTTACCGATTAAAAAGAGGGGTGGGCTGCTTGCAAAGAATGGGTGCAGAAAATTCACCAAGCAAGACACCAGTGGCTTAACAAAATTGGCAAACCTCAAATGCATGTTGATTAAAACAAAGCATTATTTTTCCACCCAGGCATTGGTAAAACTGGCAGAGATTAAAAAAAAATACAACATCCAATCTTAGCAAGAATGTGAGCCAACTCATCCACTGGAAAGCATGCAGTGGAAACATGTCTGTCCTTAGAAATTAAAGACGTCTGCAAAGCGTCAGCTTCAACCATGCACACTGCACTACTGTGTGTTACTAGACAAAAACCGGGACTATCTCCTTATCGGTCACACCAGCCTCTCCGTGGCCACCGGGAATGAGCCCGTGAACTGTGGAGTGCAAACTCCGCCACAGCAGGGACCTGCTTACGGTCCATCCCCTCCTGTGGGTGGGCATGAAAACCCCTCTGGGGTGCTAAGGCAACTGTGTGATCTAGGCCAAACATTCATTTTGTACGATTTTTTTCCAAGTAAGTGCAACTAATAATTGTCACTCATCTGAAAAATAAACTGTTTCTCCTGTCCGAATTATTTTAATTAGTAGAAGTGAAACACCAAATCCAAGTATGGGCACATAAATACCACCACTGAAAGAACAAGGGGATAAAAAGAACGTTCTTTCCATAGAAGGAAGTCTTCCAGACTGGTCCGAGGTACGACCCCTTTAAGAAGCCAGTCTGCACTGGAACAGAGCCTCCCAAACCCTTCTCTGAAAGTCCTTCAACACACACGTCACAAGCTGCGGTTCATCATTTTCATGATGCAGGCCCCTGATCACCAGTGTGAATGTCAAGGACCTTCAGTGTGTAGATGTTCCTCCCACAGAGGGACCCAGGTGGCAATGCCCTTGGACACCGCCTACATCAAACAATCAAGTTGTCCCTTGCTCTCAGGGCTGTCCCTTCAAAAGACTGTCTCGCTGATGCCCACTATTATCTTGTCCTCAGACTGGCTCACCGTCATTACTCCATTT